CATATTGTGTATGTGCAATGTATAAGGCTCCCTGCTAGTTACTAATGACCACCAACATATTTCATTCTTAAAGCCATATAATAAACTAGGTAGAATTATTATCTACATTTAGTAGATGAGAAAGCTGAGGCTTGATGAGGCTAAGAGATAGAGTAGCTCACTGGAACTCACACAGCTTAGTGAAAATAGAGTGATAGAGTGTGAAGATAAAGAGAGGATTTGAATCCAGGACTTCCACACCCTAAGACCAACCCTTCCTGTTGGCAGGATGTGTTTGTATCTCCTGATGAAAGTCAGAATTCCATAGACATGTTTATACCTAGGACCCTCTCTTTTATGTATTACTAACATTGCCGCTCTCAGAAACTTAATAGAAAAAATAGTTGTTATGATAAAAGAAGAAAGGAATAAACATTACAGTGAAAACAGAATTCATAGCACATTTCCAAAATTATCAACTTTGCCAGTAAGCAAAGCTCTTGATATTGAACAACGATGAGTTATATCCTAGGACCTCTCACCCCTAAATTGGCAGTGGGTGAAATGATTGGTGAAACCATGTATCAGTAAAGACCTGGGGAGATGGCTGCTTTTATTTCTTACTGGGGGAGTGGAAAGTTGGACCTATTTGACGCACCATAAACTGCAGTTTCATGCATCACATACAGCCAGCCAGCTTCATCTTTACAAATTCAAACTTTTAACACCTTTTTTTAAGAAAGCAGAATGTGTGCAGGAAGTAGACACCTTGAGCAAGCTTCCTGTACAGAATTTACACGGAAGATATGCACAGATAATTATAAAAAGTTCAAAGAAATGCATATGCCCAGGGCTGTGTGGTTAGGGTTGACAAAAAGAAAGAACATAAGGATTCATCCACAGCAGATTAGGTGTGTGCCCGAGACTATCTCATGGTACAGGGCAGGACTTAGTAGCTTGGCCTTGGTGCGTGCGCTCCAAGCTCCAAGTCCTCACTGTTCTTCACTAAGCTGGGTGAGTATGAGTGAGCTCCTTAATATCTTAACCTCATCGAGCTTCGGCTTTCTCATCTCCCAAAAGGAGATAATAATTCTACCTGATTTTTATGTTGTTTTGTTTGAAGGATGATGCCATGAGTCATTCAGTGTAGAGCCTCGCGCACTGTGCACGTATGCTACGTCTGCAGCCACGTAACGCTGGAGAAATCGTGAGTGCAAGATGCACAGGTGTGTTCACTCAGGGAGAAGCGCCATCAACAGTGACCTAGCGCTGGAGAACAGGATTCAGGTGAAGGTTACTTAAAAAATTTCTATACTGTCAAAATTTCTTTAAAATAATCACACTGTATTGGGAAAAACACAACAAATTTTTTTAATTTAGAGAAAAAACTAAAATATGACATTGTTAAGACACTATGTTGAGTTATGTCTCACAAAATAACCATCACAGTAATCTTTCTTTTATATTTATTCTTTTTTAAAAACTGAACTCCAAGAGTACAACTGAGCTAATCACGAATATCCAGCTATAGCCGAGAGTGGCAAAGCTTGTTTACTGTTTGCTTGAGACACAGATCTAGGTCCCAGTTCCCCACTTCTATGCTCCCACCCCATCCTTGTTCCTCATCTAAGGCCACACCAGGCTGAATGTGCTCCGTCTCCTCTGTCCTTGCGCCTCGATGGAACTGCATCATTATTTCTCAACAATGAAATGCGACCAGAGGATGTTCCACCTTCAGTAGTAAATAGCTCAGAGGAAGGGTTTAGAGATTGGACACTTCGGATTAAAGCAGAGAGAACCTCAGGAAGGAGGCTGATCTTCAAATGCTAGGAAGGGATGTCTGTAATTTATAGGCTTCACCGGATCACTCTAGGTGAAAGCTACAGAGAAGACTAATCCTGCAGTCTGATTAACCCACGCTCTAGAGGAGAGAACTAGGAAGTGACAGGGCTTATGGGAGATGCCTTGGTGTGGCGCCACTAAACCAAGTGCTTAAAGCTGGGAAATCTGTTAAGGTTGAAGAACTAAACAGATAGCTTCAGACCTCAGAATGATTCATGCACAGTATTTAAATTTAATATAATCTTTTATTTCTACAGGAAAAAATTTTAATTAAAATAAAAATTTAAAAATTCACACTCAGAGTTTAGGAAATTTCTTTTTAATGTGCTAAATAGAATTTTAGCATTTAGTCAAATTGTCTACTTGATAGAAAGCCTGATAAGGCAAAAAGGCACAATCCCTTCACTTTGTTTCTTTTTGACCATTCATTTATTCCTTAAACAGATGAACAAAAGTATATTGTATACAACACAGTGTTTTGAAGTACACATATATGGCAATTGCAGAAAGACTATATTTAGCAAATAGCCATTGCCTCACAGTTCTCTCTGTGCTGAGAACACTTTACAACCCTTGGCATTTTTCAACAATACAATATACTGTTGATACAATTACCATTTGTAAAACAGATTTCTTGAGCTTATTTTTCCTTCTAGCTAAAGTTTGATGTCCTTTGACTAATGTCACCCTATTGCCTTCTGCTTAGCTGGCACAGCTCCTGGTAAATACTACTTTCTTCTGTGCTTCTGGTAGATTCACTTTTCTATATTCCACATCTGAGTGCGAATAAATGGCATTGTCTCTGCCTTATTTCACTTTATACAATGCCCTACTGGTTCAACCATGATATTGCAAAACGCAGGATTTTCTAGTTTGTATGGTGAGACAGTGTTCTCTTATGTACATGTATCCCATCTCCTTTAACCATGCATCCACTGCTGACCCTTAGGTTGATTCCACATCTTGGCTAGTGGGAATAGGGATGCAGTAAACCTGGTCAGGCTGGCGTCTCCTTAGCACACTGACTTTCTTTCCTTTGGACATACACTCAATCATAGGCTAGCTGGATCATGTGCAGTAGTTTTACTTTAGGTGGGTTTTTTTCATTATAATTTTCTTTTATTTTGAAGAGTAAAAGCCAAAGCAAGAAAAACAAAAGCAAACACGGAAATAGGGTAACATAAAACAATTCCTACGTTACAGATTTTCAAAACAAGAATAGCTGATTAACAATGATTGATATATTATCTTTTTTATCATCACATCTATAGCTTAGATTAACAGATATAGTTATGCAACATTGGACATATGATTGAATATTACCTCAGGCTTTCAAGAAGTCTTAAATTTTTGTTCTTGTCTCTCTTATTCTTTTATTACCTTTTCTAAAAAATTATTTTAAAGAGAGTACAGTAATAATTCATGGCATTAGAAATAATACACAGGGGCTGGGGAGATGGCTTGGTACAATATGTGCTTCCCTGGCAAGCGCAAGGGTCTGAGTTCAATCCCTGGTTCCTAAAAAAAAAAAAGAAAGAAAGAAAGAAAGAAAGAAATAATACACATTTAGAAGATCAAGATGACAGGTATTTAAAGCATTACTTTTGTATTACACATTGCTGTCCTCAATGTAGTTACTTAGTTCTTAGTTCACAGATATCAGCATGCAGAGTTAGTCAAGCTTAGGATTCCACACATTAACTGCTGTTTTCAAAAAACTGATGGAACTTCTTTTAGAACATTCCCTATTGTCCTCCACACTGGCTATAATAATTTCCATTCCCTCCAGCAGCATATCAGAGTCCTGTTCTTCAGCCTGGCTAGAATGACTCCCGCAGAGAGATTAGATGCAGACGTTGGACTGAAGAGGGAGCATTATTCCATATCAAAGAGAAGCAGCAGCCGTTTGAATGGAAGACATGCTTAGAGGTTAAAACCTGAAGCTGTAGAGGTGGAAGTAATTTAAAACTGGTTCTTTCTTTTTATTGTTGCTGTTTTCTTGTTTTTCTTTTGGTTCTTGTTTTTGTTTTTGAGACACAGTCTCACTGTGCAGTTCAGGCTGGCTTCGAGCTCACTTTGTAGCCCAGGCTGGTCTCCAACTCACAATGATCCTCCTGCCTCAGCCTCCCAAATGCTGGGATTATAGGCATGCACCACCACACCCTTAAAACCCATTCTGAAGTTCAGAGAAAAGCCTGGTTGGAAACTTAAATGTCATTAATAAAAAAACTCTGTAATTAACATGGAAAATGAGTTTATTTACATTTCCTACTAGTGATGATAAATCCTTTAACTATACATATATACAATAAATATATTTATTAATATTTATGTGTAATAAAAACAAAAATGAGTGTATAGAAAGTTGTAGTACAACTGATTTTGGTATACTGAAATCCTGCTGGAAAATTGCAAATTCTACAAAACTACGTTTGATCTGACTAATAGAAAACATGGAGGAATTACAGAGATGATTATTTGACTTTACCCAGTATTTATGACTCAGTATTTATTAATGAAAACTGACCTTATAAATATGGTATACATTACAACAAAAAATGAGACAGCTTAATGTATCTGAGCATATATTTGCTCAACATGGAAATATAAAGACTGAAGAAACACGGTAAGATCTAAATTGATGTTAAAACATTACTTGTAATCATAATAAGTATGTGAATAGGTAAATCTGGAAAAGCAGTAAAAAATGAAAACTGTTGGAATGCCATGATTTTCTCCCTTTTTAAAAAAATGAAGTGGGTTTAAGGACAACTTTTTAATAGCACCCTTAAACATACATAGGAGGCAGGTGGACAGGCCACAATGGCCACTTCTTTCCCCTCATGTCCTTTCCACTGTTGTCATGCTGGGCCGTGGCACTGACAGGGCTGCAAGCCATATTTGCAGCAGAAGGTCTGATTCCAGTGGTTGGAGATAAGACAATACATTTTCTTTTATATATAAATTTGGTTTCATTGACACATTGACCACAGAAGAGGAAAAAGCCACAATGTGTGAGGTTAGTGTGAACAGGGTAAAAGAACATTTTTTTTTTTTTTTTTTTGAGAAAAAAGAGTCAGTGTTGCAAAGACTTTCCACCTTTCCACGCCCACACTGAAAGCCCCCTTTCTCTACAGGAAGTGCGCTGACCACTGCAGGAATAAAAGAGCCTGGTGAGGAGACCGCTAATCACTCTCTCCTGCAGCACTCAGCAAGACCCCAGCCATGAGACTTCTCCTCCTGGCCATCCTGGGCGCCTGCTGCCTCACTGCATGCATTGTAGCAGGTAAGTCCAGAAGCTGCTTCAGAGATGAGGAGCGGGGAGGCAAGGCAGGTGGGCTATCGTGTGTAGCATGGGCTTGGGTTTGACTGAGTTTTAACTGCAGGAAACTGCAGTCTCTCGCTGAGCCTCAGACTTCCAGTGGAAGGTGGGAATTTAACTCTAGGGCACTTGGTAGACTCCCAAGACAGAGAGGACTGGGTTAGTATCTGGCTCCAAGTCTTCCTAATTGGGTGATTTGGGATAAATTTCCTAACCATTGTGGCCTAGTCCCATCAGTGCTTGGAAACTTCAATTCGATTTTATCAAACTCTTGATGTGATTAACTTTCCTAGATTACTTCTCCCTTCCCCAGTGTCATGTGGTTGGTTCTCTACACTTGAACAGTTTCATTTCTCTAAGCCCTTTCTTTTGAGGATGAACACTCCAGGAAACCCACCCTTTATATCTCTCATATTTTCCATGAAAATGAGAAAACTGTATTCATTCATTCAAAAACAAGCTGCTTCCCCCAGTAAACGTTGCCTTGCCCAAGTTACTCTCCTTCACATTGTCTCATTTACTGTAATAGCCTGGTGATGCTTACACTATTTGAGATGGTATCTTCTCTTTACTTGGTTGTTGCCCTGCCCCTCTCTAGAAGAAGTGCCTTGGGAAAGCAGGGTGAGTGTCTGTCCTCGTGAGCACCAAAAGCATTAGTGTCACAACAGGTGCAGAATAAGTAGCTACCACAGAAATAAAAGAAGGGCCAGCCAGATAGCTCAGCAGATTAACAGGCCTGCTTAGGCAGATGCAGGGACCAGGGTTCGATCTCCAGCATGCTGTGCTGCCCCTGTCCCAGGAGCACGTTGAGCAATGATTGAGACTGGGCATGGTGGCACGCACTTGTAATCCCAGCTCTTGGGAGGCTGAAAACAGGAAAATCACTACAAGTCTGATCTATGTAGTGAAACCCTGAAGACCCTGTACTAAATACATAAAAAATAAAAAATAAGAGTGTCACTGAGGTATGGGGTCTTGAATAGGAGCATAGATAGTACCTTGCTATCTTATCTCACCATGATGAGGTCCCTAAAGCTATGTGCTTGATCTAATTTTTAAATTAGTCTAACACTTTTATACAGACTGTATACTGTACAAAAGACTGAGGGTGCCAGTAAGAACCAGATCTTCCCAAAAGAACAGTGGTCCCCTATTCCTACACATGCTTACGTGTAACAGGTGATTGTGTTTTCCTTGAACTTGATGATGGTTGTTGGCTGACAGTTTTATTTCTCTGTCTTTTTTAACCAGGGGTGGGGAATGAAGTCCCAGAGAGGAGTATCTGTATGAGCCTAACAACACAGCCGCTGCCAGTGAACAAAATCAAGACCTATGTCATCAAAGAGGGCTCCATGAAGGCAGTGATGTAAGTGTCTCCCTGTGCCTGGGCATGGTGTAAAAAAATAGAACCATCGGAAAAGATGGGTTGGTGTGGAGGAAATCTTCCACTTCATCTACCCCCTCAGTCATCCTTATTAGCATGTCTTCATGCAGCCTAAACAATGACCATTGGCAAAATCAGCCTCTAACTATAGCACGTAAGTCTTCGCTTCTGACTTTGCCTAGCAGCAGAGTCTGAATGGAAACCACAGGAATACTGTGTCCAGGTATGAGGCTGGAGCTTAGACATGGCTGCCCCAAGCCAGGACTCGCCCACAGAGCCAGTAGGATGGGAATGAGGAGAGGGTTGAGCACTCAGGGTCAGTTAGTGGCTTTCAAAGGATGGCTTGTTCTCTCTCCAGATCTCATTTTTATGAGTAGCAGTTCCCATAATACATACTTAGAAGCTTTGCTCTAAGAAATTAAAGAAATCACCTTCAGTCCAAAAAACAAGAATGTCTGGGTTTGAAAAGGACTAGGATATGCAACAACTAAACTAGAAGATTTCATTGTGCAGTTTAATTATAACATTTGATAAACCTGGTGGCTAAAAAAAAAAAATTCTGTAAAAAAAAAAAATCTGTAAAGTTATAAAATACAAAGGAGCCAGAATCTACCTGGAGACTTTCCTGATTTATGCTAAAATGATAGCAGGAGAAAACTGTTCAGCATGGTCTATGAGTTCTCAAAGATTATTTCTTTGGCTAATTACTGGCCAAGTCTCTTTGTGTTTGGTCAAATCTTAACTCTTTACTCTGGGGCTTGAGGAATCGGCTAACATCATCTATCTTTTCCTTGCATTGTAGTTTTATTACCAAACGTGGCCTCAAAATCTGCGCTAACCCACAAACCAACTGGGTGAAAGCAGCGATCAATAGTGTGGACAGCAGGTCCAACACCAGAAGAAACAGGATCCAGACCAACCCTACCGAAGCCCAGCAGTCCACCTATACAGTGGGGACCTTGTCCCAGTAGAGAGTGGCCAGTACCCTGTCCTCTCCGAGTAGCTAAAGATGCGGACCCTACTCTTTCTGACTCTGTGTGGTAAGAACTGGCCTTCCCTTGAGAGTTCCATAGCTGGCCAGACCTTCCACAAGCTCATAGACTAATTAGGTTATACTCATCTTTTATGAAAGTGCTGCATAAGTAAAATTTTATTCTTGTATCTTTATTTTAAAGTGTTTCATATTCATTTACATGCCATAATTGATAAATGTTTATTATTAAAATTGATTCTGGGTCAACAGGATAGCTCAGTGGACTCAATGCCAGCTTAGGTAAGTGCAGGGGTACCATCTGCCATGCCAGCCCCACCCGTAGGTGCACTGAGCTGGCCACCAAGACAAGGCAGTGTGGTGCACACCAATAATCCCAGCACTGAGGAGGCTGAAAACAGGAGGATCACTAGGATTCCAAACTGCATGGTGAGACCCTGTACCAAATACACTTATTAAAAAACATGATTTTGAGGTCTATTTGTTATATTTAGGGAACAATAACATATCCCTGATGCTCTCTCTGTTCATGACCTAACAGATCTTTCTTCATTGGTATCCACAGTGTGAGAGGTTCCAGCCAGTGTTGATCAGAGATGAAAGCTACATTCAATACTCCTAGGTTCTAGGTTGTAATGATTCTTAAGCCTGAGTTAAACATAACTCAAGATCTGTGATGACTTGTTAATTTTTCCTCATAACAAAGTGGTGTTAGTAGAATAAGGAATAAAATCAGCTGACTGTCATTGGCTTTCTCTTATGAGGGTCTACAACTCAAAAAGTGGTTTCACTCAAGTTTGATCTCTAGGAAATAATTCTCTTACTTCTTTATTTCTTTTGATCTCCTATCTAATGTGTGGAGAGGCAAGACTTGTCATTTTGTTCACTTGTTTAATTAAAGTCAGGCTTTTGAATA